TTGTAATGACCAATATCTTATCTTCCATTATATCTGAAGATAAAGTTTTATGCAAGAAATATATGATAACAGAAGTTAGGTCACATGGTATCAGAAAATAACACAACAGAGTCAGGGTATGATAGATGTTAGTATTGGAACGATGTTTTATCAGGGTAGTAATGGTAACTAACATCGTCACTTTGTTCTGTACTGGGACATCTGATGGACATTTTATTTCACATAATTTCACAGATCTTAAAGTAATGAATGTTGTTTTATCAGGATAGTTAAGACAACATTTTTGGTAAATGTTGAGTGTGATCACAGAGTCTAACTGTGTTATAACTTATCACATGTTTATGCAGACAGAAATAAATCATGCTGCTCCTGATGTAGGTTTTATAAACAATTATAAACAATTACATAAACTATACAGTTCCTTAATACAGACTTTGTACTAAATATCAGTGTATATATTAATTTTCAGCTCTCTGATTTGTCTGTATTTATGAAAGATAACTTCACAAGAAAAATATCTATCTGAGTGTAAGCTAAATGCACACACAACTGTAGTTTGATTGAAACATTCCTAAAAACTGTATTTTCAGTGTGTTGTATATTAAAATGTCACCTGTGTGAAGGGTTATTGAGCTTTGGTGGCGGTGAAACATCCGTATTCTCCTCACCTGATGACAGATTTTGCCATAAATATCTATTTCTTCTGAACAACATAGACACCTCAAGTCAGAATGTTGGTTCAAAGGTGATGTTGAAGGGCTTGCTGTATTATCCAAGTGACTCATACTCAAGGACAAAAGCGACAAAACGGTCATTGTACTTAGGAAATTCCTTCTTTTTTGGATATAAGCAATAAGATGCTGTATGAAGAAGTATTTATTTGAAGATAAATGACCTGGACCAAGAGAACCAGTGGTGTACTATATAGTTGGAAATAAGTAAGGAAGGTTCAGTTTTCTCATTTTTGTGGTTGTTAAAGAAAACCGGAAATTAATTACCCAATATTTCTTCAATGAATCAAGATCTCAGAAAAAGTATACTGTAAGATTATTAATTTCCGTGGTGGTTTCATTTTCATTGTATTTGTGGTAACTCATAATCTGTTGGGTTTTTTAAATGTCCATGGAAGGATTATAAAAACTGACTTTAGTACAAGTAGGGACTAATAAAGTTACAGAAGATCTTCATTGGCGTTGTCTGGTCCTGCTTACCGATTTTTTAGTACAAGTAGGTTTACAAAGTAATAAATATCACAAAATTAAGTGCTCACAAAAATGCCTTATATCTGTAAAACCACAAAATTTGAACCCCACAAAAATACATGATTACACTACATTGATAATTACGTTTGTATAGATAGTACGTAATGATATGTAGAGTTAACGTAAAATCTAAATCCCTTATCTAGTCGTAACCAGGATAAACACAAAAATAAAATCTAAATTCCTTGTCTAGTCGTAACCAGAACAAACACAAAAATAAAATCTAAATTCCTTGTCCAGTCGTAACCAGGACAAACACAAAAATAAAATCTAAATTCCTTGTCCAGTCGTAACCAGGACAAACACAAAAATAAAATCTAAATTCCTTGTCCAGTCGTAACCAGGACAAACACAAAAATAAAATCTAAATTCCTTGTCCAGTCGTAACCAGGACAAACACAAAAATAAAATCTAAATTCCTTGTCCAGTCGTAACCAGGACAAACAAAAAAATAAAATCTAACTTCCTTGTCTAGTTGTAACCAGGACAAACACAAAAATAAACACAAAAATAAAATCTAAATTCCTTGTCCAGTCGTAACCAGGACAAACACAAAAAAATAAAATCTAAATTCCTTGTCCAGTCGTAACCAGGACAAACACAAAAATAAAAGCCTCACAAAATTTTTAAGAATATATGGTAATAAGCTTGTAAGATATCAAAATGAAGGGTGTGGAGTTTTGGTTTCAACTGTAAAGGTATGTGAGTAGGAGTATTGAAATCGTCTTCATTAACTTAACAAAATGATCCTCTACAGAGAAATAATTATATGAATGAGTTCAGCTCATACCTACGGTGAGTTTCACAGAAATTGGATCAGTTACAATACAGGCTCATCAACATTCTTTTTTATTTCCATTTCAAAGACAATCAATCTTTCATTAATCTGAAAAAATTGTTATATGGGATGGTGTGAGGTACTACCATTGATCAACATTCAATCAATGTTTAAGACTTCAGTTCTAATCTGTAAACTTTTGTGTTAGTGTTGGTACAACTCCAAATAAATCATTCATAGAGCTGACTCAAACTTTTCTATTTAAACATATACCACATTCTACCATATAAATGCACCTACCCCTATAAGCCTATCGTTATTGAGGGGGTTGTAATGAAAACCTCCAGATCCCTACCTCATTGGTCTGCCAATACAATCTTTAATTCTTTAATGAATATGTAAAAGTATACATAAATGGGAATTTTTTTTATTTTTTCCTCTTGTATTTAAAATGGAAACTATTTCCTGTACATGGTTTTAATAAGCACACATATTTTGTGTAATTGTAAGTGCAGTGTGCTTATTAGATCAAATAAGATATATTAAATCTTCTTCAGGGATGTCATAAATTCTTGATTTGATAAAATTATAGTAAGAAAACCAAACTTTAAATCCTGGAATCAGTTAAAAGGACACCTGTCTGATGAAGAGCCTTTGAGGTCTTATTTATGTAATAACTCTGCAACTACTGATCTCGTGACAAGTTGGACCAAGGACTCGTATGTCTGGCTTATCAAACCAATGGGGTTGTAAAACATATGTGTTGATTGGTTGGTAGACTTCAGTTTGTTTGTAAAACACAAGTGTTAATTGATAAACATTGACACCCAATATCTGGTTCTAAGGGGCTTTAAAGCTTGATGGGTGGTATTCTGTAGCAGCTTCAACTTTAAATATGTTGCAAATAATTTAGAATGAAAGGGACAAAACAGTCTAGCAAACGTCATGTCAATATTGACAAGTATCACCAATTAAATATGTACTTTTTGTCAGCATCTTAAAGTATACATGATCCAAAAATAAACATTTGTTTACTGTTTCTCAATGTGATTTGGGCTGTTGCTGTGTTGCATGTACTTACTCACAGCTCCAGTAATAGAGGCTTTTACCACTTGGTTTCCAAACATATGAAACAGCTGCTTTCTGTCTGTTTCCATTTTACTGGCAAATCGTTGCATAATACTTATCTTTTGTATGACAAAAATAATGATGTTGGGATATACAAGGTTCTATCAATACTTTCATATAAAAGATAACTATTGTATTTACAAATCAGTCAAGATATACAACATAATGCGTGGGTTTAAAGAACCTTCTATAGAAGTAAGAGCTCCAAAAATAAAAGAAGATTATTTTTGTAAATTTTCATGCCTTAGTAACTAAATCATGTCAGGAATACTAATTTTTACCCTTTATACAAGATTAAGATGCAAGTTTTCCTTCCTTTTCTCACATTTTTATCTTAATTTTTTTTTTTTTTTATATTATGTATTGATCGTAAATGCGATACACAGTGTACCTAATTTAGGGCCCTCAGTCCCTCATTTACAGAGTTATTGCCCTTTTTAAAAAATTTTTGTGTGTGGAGCATAACTTTACATGCATTTAAACTATGATAATGAAACTTGATGTATACATTGATCATACTAAGATGATGTGCAGTGTACCAAACTACAGAGTTATTGCCCTTTGTTAAAATTTTTGTCTGGAGTATACATTTGAATTGCTTGCATTTAAACTAGGATAGTGAAACTTGGTAGAAACATAGATCATAAAAAACAATGTGCATTGTACCAATGTTAGGACACATAACCCCTTAATAACACAGTTATATTGCCCCTTGTTAAAAATGTCTTGTCCAGAGTATAACTTCGCCCTTAGGTAAGCTAGGATCATGAAACTAAGTGCATACATTGATCATACTAAGACAATGTGCTGTGTACTAAATTCAGGGATCTCAATCCCTTGATTACAGAGTTATTGCCCTTTGTTAAAATTTTGTGCCTTGAGCATAGCTTTGTTTGCATTAAAACTAGGATAATGAAACTTGGTTGATCATCATTCACATTAAGAGAATGGGCAGCATACCAAATTCAGGCCTGCAATTTCATAAATACAGAATTATGGCTCTTTGTTAAAATTTTGTGTCCAAAACTTTAGGGTGCATTCTTCCGTTTTACTAAGTCTGATGTCATCTTCATCCTCTAAACCTTTTAAATGGAAGTGAGCATGTATACCTGGCATATCATTGATAATTCATCAAAGGGATTTTGTCACAATTTGTCGACATTTTCAAATTATACAACATATTATATTTCTATGCAGAAAGGCTGACAGGTGGTTAGGGCCAGGTACTGTGTCCATTTAATGTTTACCAAGAAGCTTCAGACTTTACAAAAGGGTTAATTACTTTTAAAGCTCAGACAAGCTTTATAACCACTTCACCCAGACCATAATGTTTGGAGTTATGGCCCTTTACATATGGATTTAGCATGCATGTTGAATATCTGGAGTAAATTATGAGTCAATAGCAGAGTTATTTCAAAAATAACTTAGTAATCCCCAGTTCAGTGGGGAAAGAGGGGCTTTAGAGAGTGTTCCTTCATCCCTCAGCACTCACTCAGCACTGAGGTATATAGTATAAAAGATTGGTAAGGAATTGACCCAGCCAATACTAAACAGGGATGAGGGGGGCCACAATTAACTGACTTTCACACGTCTGACCAACTATTGGAAAAACATAGCCAAATCAACTACAGTGCAATGTTGCCATCTTTTTTTTATATTTTTTTTTTTCCAGTAATACTTTTACTATCTCATCACCACTTTTTTACCTTAGTGTACGAACACTGAGTTGTTTATTCAAGTATTGAGTTACATTGTCTGTCATTGCGTTCATCTCTATCAGATTTTCATGTTTCTGTCATTATATTTTAAAATTTGAGTTTTCGATGTTACAGGAAGCAGTGGGCCTCTTGGAGCCAATGACAAATGATCCCGTCAATTACGTCCGCCAGGGAGCACTTATTGCACTGGCTCTGGTTATTATTCAGCAGAATGAGGTCACCTGTTCCAAGGTAAGCTGTTGTGTATATAGAGGATCTTGAAGATATTCAAGGTCATAGGGGTCAAATTTGTTAAAAACCTTAAACAACTTCTGACTATCGAAAAAAACTCAGAAACTTAGCTGACAATTTCTTGGAAAAGAAATGACCTTGACTCAGTATTTAAGATCACTGGGGTCTATTGGTTGAAACCTATATTTCATTCACTGCCAAAAGGCCAAGAAGCATGACATTTGACAGATATAACCATTAGATGAAGTTTGTTTGAAGGTAGTTTATTACTGGTGTGAAATGCATGTGCGTTTGAGGGATGCAGGCCCATTGGACCTCTTGTTTAATATATAAAAAGAATTTTATACCGTTTATGTCGATCTGGTTCACGGGGCTGGGAAATAGTAGAAAATCAAATATATCCAATACCGTTATTATCTCCCTTGGTACCTCTTTATTTTCTCTCCTGCATACATCGCTGATGTTGGACATTTAGAATCATCCATCATCATCAGGATTCAGGAGATGAGGACATTAAACCAACAAAAAAATATATATATATAAGTAAAAGATATTATCTCAAGATGTTAATATTAGTGTTTTGTAGTGATTATATAAACTTCCTCGGTACAGATTCATTGATGTAATCCGGGCAATGTACATGTATATGTCAAGTGTTATGTGTTTGTGTATAACAGCCATCTTACTATTGTAATGAATAGACCAACTATTTAGTGATCACTGGGCCATAACTACAACTAAGATATAGTCATACATAGGTGTAACATGTTTGTTATAGAAATAAACAAGTACTTAATCTTTATCAAACACAACAACAGAAAAAGTTAAGAATCTAACTTACTGCTTAAAACACCACCAGGAATAGAGCCCAGAAGATTGACATCATGAGCTCTCTTCCACAGCAAAATACTAAACATTTCTTATCTCACTTTTATTCAACACATCTATCTTAGAATGAATATGTAAATATTTTCAAGGACACCAAGATAAAAAAAAAACATGTAGATTTTGATTTTGTGGTCTGTTAAGTTATCAGCTCCCATCGAGGATCTCTTGTCCTGTTACTGGTCTAGCTATTGTAGCTGGAAATTGTGGTCAGATCTAACGGTTGAAATATACAATTTGGTCTAGAAGACAGTTACAAGGGGAAAAAACCTACTAAGTTAAATAGGTCAGTAAAGAAATATTTCACTTGACATAATCATCTGATGATATGGAATTTCCATATAAAAGTTGTGTTTAGGAGGAACATTTGGAGGAAGTCCAACTCCAAGACAACCTCTCCATGTTTGATACGTAAATCCTGTGTACAGCATTCCTATCTCATACAACAAAGGTGTTCGATTCCTACTTCAATCTTACGACCACGCCAACACACATCTTCACTTTTGCTGGGAGGTGGATATTGCTGTTGGTATAATTATATGGAACGTTGGTTGGCATGTTTTATGATTTAGATGGATTTTTGGTCTTTGTTGTGGTAAATTTTATGTGGGTGATTTAATAAATTATTATGGAAGTTCAGCTTTGGTAAAGTACAAGTGTTCTTTAATCTGTGTAATAAAGATGTTTTACTGGTGAAAAACCATCAGCCCTTTCTTATGTCAATGGTACTGTAGTGGAATACTTGGTGAAATAAACTGTGGGGCTAAATAACACAGCAGTGTAATGATCTCCACTAATTCTACAATCTATTTTAAAGCAGTTCAACAAGGCACTCCTCCTAAGCCATGTATGTTTGACCTTCAAACATCATCCTTTATTTGTCTTCCTCAGATTTACAGTTTCTGTTGTTTTTGGAAAAACAAGGTGAAATAAAATGTGATTAATGTCACACTTTCATGTTGAGTCAGAAAGAAGTATCAGTAAAACTTGGTTTTATTAATTAAAGGGATGATGAAATTTGGAAATGAAAAACAAGTACTTTCAATTTTGGCATCAAGCTTTGGCCCATGTTTTTATTTTCTCTTTATTGGCAAAAAACAAAATGGGTGAAAGCTTCTTATCATACATTACTTTCTTTCTTACTGAATTTATAAAACTTTGTAGTGAGAATTTAAACAGATATATTTGATATAAAAATGTCAACCTGCATCACATTTCAGCACCCTAACAGGCCCACTGGACCCCTTTGTTATATGATTAACTCATATTGTAACATTCAATGCAAAATGGTTTTATTTTCTGATTTGTATAGTTGTAATAACAACAACATACAGCCATTTAGTATGGGGATGGTATTTTATCTAAAATCATCTATACATACCTTCCAGAATGTGTCTACACTTCAAAAAACCTGTTTATCTATTCATGTTTATGGAGAAACCTTGCCTATGATTTAATTCCAGGTGAACAACTTTAGAGCGCTGTTTACCAAGATCGTCGCTGACAAGCATGATGATGTAATGGCTAAGTTTGGAGCCATCCTCGCCAAGGGGATCATGGATGCTGGTAGGTACTTAAAAGGGATATCGCCAGGACAGAATCAACTCAAAATCTCTTCTAGTATATCAGAATAATTAATTAGTGATGCATTTGATTAAAAACTTGTTATACAGCTTTTTAAACTCTCTGACAAAGAAAGGAGAGGAATTTCAACTTTTTAATTTTTTTTTATATGTTTGTACATATCATTGGAATGGTAGTCCCTTTATTTGATGATGTAACCTCTACTACCTGCCAGTCCATGTGGACCCTAACAAAATGCTTGATAATGACATTCTAGCTTAAACCTACAAGTATATATTTGAGGAAGGAAGAATGGCATAAAATATATGTAAGTTTTTAAAGTTCATGAAAACAGTTTTGAGAACAATTCAGCGAAAGAATTTCTGTAACAGGAAGAAAACTTTGAGAAAATTTATTTTAATGCAGAGATCACAGCTAAAGTGATATTTAAATGACAGAAGTTTCATCAAACTTACTCCAGATTTAACTTAGGATGACGTATTTCATGTTCAGGACTTCATCGAATGCCAGAAGTCAAAGCACACGAGATAAGCTCAATTTTATAAGATCTGCTGATAAAATATCTGTCAGTATGATGGTGTTTTAGGCTCCACGAGATGTCTGTTTCAATATTACATATTATCTGTTTTTACCAACTTGACAACAGTCAACCATTCTCTGGCAGTTTGTAGTACCTAGTAGGGTGCATGGCTATTATCAGGATATAATTAAATGTGTTGGGATGTGATAGGGGAATCCTCCTCCTCTGTGTTAAGCAGGCGGCTCGTCTCCACTAGCCTCCTATATACATTTCAACTTTATCAATGAGCGTAACTTGAAGATCTAGTTTGATGTTCTTATGTCAAATCTGTTCCTTTTGACAGGAAAATAATGTGCCGTGATTATGCAGAGAGTAGTGGTGATATTTGTGGGAAGTTCCTAGTATAATCATCTGTACAGGATATTGTGTACATTAATTGACTAGACAATAAGGTTTTTAGGCTCAAATTTTACATTTACTGCAAATTGAAGTATTTGTAATGTATTGTTCATGTTTCAGATTGAAATATAGGATGAACACCATGTGTGTCAAACAGTTGTGATAGATTATCTCCCTTGAGGGTGTGGATACGGTGTTTAAACAGGTGTGATTATCTCCCCTCTGACAAGGGTGTAAGTAGGGAACTGTCAGATTTAAGTATGATCTCAGGATAATCTCTGAGGTCGGATGGACCTGATGCTCTCAAGCAGGAAAACCTGATATAGGTTCATCAGGGGAATGCACAGCTTAGTCTGTACCTGTTAACAAATGAAAAAGGGGGATGGGAGGGTCTACACTGTACTTATTAACCTTGAGGTGGTGTGGGGGGGGGGTAGCCTGGATATTGTGTACTTGGGGAAAGATGATATTCTAGATAGCTTATGTAATGCTGGGAGTGACTACACTGATGTAGTACAACAAACCTGTACAACAAACCTGTTAACCCTGAGGAATTGTGGTTCTCTGGGAGTCATACAGCCTATTGTTGTGATATGGTAAACAAATGGTTTGCCACATTACATATCATGTATTTTTATATAGACAAAGGGATGGTCAGTTATTTTGGGCCAAACATTTGTTGACCATTCCCTGATATGGATTATCTCTGTAGTACACAAACATGAAAGCTGTCACACAGTTCACATAGGTACAAACATATAGATGATCTAGATAGTGTGGGAAAAAAGGTGATGAAGTGATTGGTCAGCATGATTGAAGGCTAGTTTTGTTAATGGTTTGCTTTTCTTATCTGTTGTCAGGTTCAAAACAAGATCAAAAAGTTTCAGACAAAATATAGGGAGAATTTTTCACACAAATTGGCAGTTTTGGTATTTTCAGAGGTAAGGGTAATGGATAGTGGAAGGGGGACATAAGTGTGTTCTAAATGCTTTAAAGAAGGGGGAGGGATATTTGTTGATGTGAGAGACAAGTGGCTTTCCTGTATTATATCGGGAGAACTAGCATGAAGGAAGTATGAATTAAAGACCTACTGTGTAGCGGAGTGGTAATTAACATTTTAATAGGTGACTATACAAACCAAAGAGCAAAAACGTACATAGCTTTTATCATTTCCAGCTATAAATATATAAATGACATGCTATTGATTGTCACATTGAGATTTGAAGCTAGCATACATAGGACTTTGATATGTATTTATTGATTAAGCATGCCAACTTATTTCCTTTTCACAGATAAATATGAATAGTTGCCATGAGCCAAAGTATGGCCTAAAAAACCCACAACAAATAGAAAAGAGAGAGAAAAGAGAATTCATATCAATGTTTTTACCTCTGGAAAGATATGTGTCTCTGGGCAGGTGCTGGAAAGATATATGTCTCTGGGCAGGTGCTGGAAGGTGCTGGAAAGATATGTGTCTCTGGGCAGGTGCTGGAAGGTGCTGGAAAGATATGTGTCTCAGGGCAGGTGCTGGAAAGATATATGTCTCTGGGCAGGTGCTGGAAGGTGCTGGAAAGATATGTGTTTCAGGGCAGGTGCTGGAAAGATATATGTCTCTGGGCAGGTGCTGGAAGGTGCTGGAAAGATATGTGTCTCTGGGCAGGTGCTGGAAAGATATATGTCTCTGGGCAGGTGCTGGAAAGATATGTCTCTGGGCAGGTGCTGGAAAGATATATGTCTCTGGGGAGGTGCTGGAAAGATATGTGTCCCTGGGCAGGTGCTGGAAAGATATGTGTCTCTGGGCAGGTGCTGGGGAGATATGTGTCTCTGGGCAGGTGCTGGAAAGATATGTGTCTTTGGGCAGGTGCTGGGGAGATATGTGTCTCTGGGCAGGTGCTGGAAAGATATGTGTCTCTTGGCAGGTGCTGGGGAGATATGTGTCTCCAGGCAGGTGCTGGAAAGATATGTGTCTTTGGGGAGGTAATGGAAAGGAATTTGTCTTTGGGGAGGGAATGAGAAAAAAATGTGTCTTTTGGGTGGTAATGGAGGAGGTACTGGAAAGGAATATGTCTCTGGGGAGGTACTGGAAAGGAATGTGTCTCTGGGGAGGTTATGGAAAGGAATGTGTCTCTGGGGAGGTACTGGAAAGATATGTGTCTCTGGGGAGGTAATGGAAAGGAATGTGTCTCTGGGGAGGTAATGGAAAGGAATGTGTCTCTGGAGAGGTAATGGAAAGGAATGTGTCTCTGGGGAGGTTATGGAAAGGAATGTGTCTCTGGGGAGGTAATGGAAAGGAATGTGTCTCTGGGGAGGTACTGGAAAGGAATGTGTCTCTGGGGAGGTTATGGAAAAGAATGTGTCTCTGGGGAGGTACTGGAAAGATATGTGTCCCTGGGGAGGTAATGGAAAGGAATGTGTCTCTGGGGAGGTACTGGAAAGAAACTTGTCCTGTCCTTATAAAAAGAAAGCGTTTAACAGTGTTTATCCTGGATCAGGGTGGAAACAAGGCAAAGAGATGATGTTCTTGTTTAGTGAGAATACTCTAATATAATATTATAGCTGTGTCCTCTCAAGGGCCTTCACATGTAGTTAGTGACCTTGACCCTGACAGTAAACACATGTTGTAGAGAGATCAAGGCCATTGGTTCTTCATGCTGTATTTGGTTCCATCTATTTAACAGCTCATGTTTGGTGGGGAATATAACCCACAGTATCAACGTGTCAGCAAAGTCTTGTAAACTCTTAACTGCAAGATGATACAAATCATTTGAATCTCAGATAGCGTATCTTTGTGGTTAAGTATGCTTATCAAGTTAATTACAGTAGTATATTCTAGTAGCACTTAGCATCCCTTGTTAGGGGTAAAAAGTTCATCTGGTAGTTAAAACATCTGTAACAAGTATAAGTTATACACTACTTTACTCTCTTCATATCAAACACTGAAGTGTTCCATCAAGGGAGATAACCTCAGGGTCAGTGACCATGCTATACCTTAACACAATATAATGTGATTGTTTTGAAATCTCCTTACCAATAAAAAATTTTTATCATCAAGTTTGAACTTCACTGATGCCTGTTGTAAAGGAAGATGAAAGAAACACGGGTTGGTTTTAAGTTCAACGTTGTGTTTATGTTGGATTTTGATGTCATCTTCCCAATTAAGTCGTCAGTTCAATGTCGTCTTAACACTCATATATTTTATATAGAATGTTATATGAGAGTCAGACTTTACATTTAATATAAGATAATTAATCTGAGTCCTAAAATATCATTGCTGAGATCCTCATGACAGATAAAATTAAGAATTTGTATCTAATTTCATAATTCTTGTAAAATTAGGATTTTTTTTCACACTTCGGCAGAAGTATTACAGAGAATATTTACTGTATAATTGTATTGTCATTCCTAAGATAAAATGACACATTACACGTTTATATACATATGATGTTTATTCACCCTGAATCATACAGTATTTAACCTATTGTAATCCAACCCCAGTTCTCTTAGTCAGTAAAGGCTACCTGTACATAGCTGTACCACTACCTTCTCTCTGTTGTAGCACCTTTAAAGTTGTTCAATTAGTACTTGGTATCTGCCTGTTCATTAAGCATTAATTTGATTCCAGACTTGTTTTAATGGCTGTTAGCCACTTAGAGGTACTGCTATGGAGGTTAAACACACAGCCTCAACTAGAGTAGTATAACTCCATGACAAAATGTATTTTGTATCCTTCTGGACGTAGGTAGACCATACAGTAGATGTTTTTTGGTCAGGGAAGAAGTTAATTAGGTCATACAATAGATGTTTTTAGTATACCGTAGGGTTTAATGATGACAAACTGAAGGGAGATGTAATTATATATACGGCTTAATGATGACAAACAATGCTTGTTCCTTCCAGGGTAAGTTTTTTTGGGATGTTAAGCTAAGATTGTTCTGACAATTTAGTAGGGAAGGAAAGGCAGGGCATATATACCACACATGTCAGGACGTCACACTGTTCACTCTAATGTTATAGTACCAGGTGTTGTTTTTTAGTTATGTCTACTACAAAGGAGATATGCTTTGCACATAAGAATCTTACCTCAACATGTGTGGAACATTGAGTTATAATTCATTCATGGTGCTCTTAGATTCCCATCATTTAAGATCTACCTGCTGATTTCCTGTTTGGTCAATAGTTTTGTTCTATTACATGAAAATGAAGCTGAAAATAAAGGAGAATCAAAATTTGTCTCAGTTTTATTGAATAGATGTTCATATATTACAATCACTTCTTGGAAAATGTTCTGTTTAGTTGTGATGTTTTTATCTAAAATATTAAAATCATAATTAAGATGAATGATAGTATGATTCTTAGTATTACAAAAGTGATGAGATTTTTTATCGAAGAAAATGTTGTCCTATCAGATACCTTAAATAAAGGACATGAAGAGGAGATAGTGAAAACAGAAGAAAATAAAAAATGTACTCATGATGGAATATTGTTAATATCAAGCAAAATCAACATTTGTGTGAGTCCTACATAATTAAAAACCAAATTAAATATTGTGAAGGGTTTATTGTTCATAGCAATGCTGTACTGTTTAAGGTGGACGTAACATGACAGTGTCACTACAGTCACGGACTGGTCATACTAACATGGAGGCTGTCGTGGGCATGTTGGTGTTCACACAGTTCTGGTTCTGGTACCCTCTGACACACTTCATGTCTCTGGCTTTCACCCCTACTTGTCTCATCATGCTGAACGAGGACCTCAAGGTAAGTCATCTGTCTCATCATCCTGAACGAGGACCTCAAGGTAAGTCATCTGTCTCATCATGCTGAACGAGGATCTCAAGGTAAGTCATCTGTCTCATCATGCTGAACGAGGACCTCAAGGTAAGTCATCTGTCTCATCATCCTATACGAGGACCTCAAGGTAAGTCATCTGTCTCATCATGCTGAACAAGGACCTCAAGGTAAGACATCTGTCTAATTTATACCGAATTATGATTTCAAGGTAAGTCATCTGTCTCATCTTGCTGAATGAGGACCTCAAGGTAAGTCATCTGTCTCATCATCCTAAACGAGGATTTCAGGGTAGGTCACCTGTCTCATCATGCTGAAGGAGAACCTCAAGGTAAGTCATCTGTCTCATCATGCTGAACGAGGACCTCAAGGTAAGTCATCTGTATCATCATCCTAAACGAGGATTTCAGGGTAAGTCATCTGTCTCATCATGCTGAACGAGGACCTCAAGGTAAATTATCTGTCTCATCATGCTGAACATAGGCTCCATCCCTTCATAATGTCAGATCAAATCTAATGACATGTTAAATCATAATGGAAGTTTTAGACCATAAACATGCCTTCAGTGATACATTGTATCATTTTAACCTCAGGAACAAGGTGATTGATATTTCTGCATATTTATATGTTAAATCTCAAACTGTCAGTAAAGTCAACACACAACAAAATCTCAAACTGTCAGTAAAGTCAACAACACACAACAAAATCTCAAACTGTCAGTAAAGTCAACAACACACAACGAAATCTCAAACTGTCAGTAAAGTCAACAACACACAACGAAATCTCAAACTGTCAGTAAAGTCAACAACACACAACAAAATCTCAAACTGTCAGTAAAGTCAACACACAACAAAATCTCAAACTGTCAGTAAAGTCAACACACAACAAAATCTCAAACTGTCAGTAAAGTCAACAACACACAACAAAATCTCAAACTGTCAGTAAAGTCAACAACACACAACAAAATCTCAAACTGTCAGTAAAGTCAACAACACTCAACAAAATCTCAAACTGTCAGTAAAGTCAACAACACACAACAAAATCTCAAACTGTCAGTAAAGTCAACACACAACAAAATCTCAAACTGTCAGTAAAGTCAACACACAACAAAATCTCAAACTGTCAGTAAAGTCAACAACACACAACAAAATCTCAAACTGTCAGTAAAGTCAACAACACACAACAAAATCTCAAACTGTCAGTAAAGTCAACAACACTCAACGAAATCTCAAACTGTCAGTAAAGTCAACAACACACAACAAAATCTCAAACTGTCAGTAAAGTCAACACACAACAAAATCTCAAACTGTCAGTAAAGTCAACACACAACAAAATCTCAAACTGTCAGTAAAGTCAACAACACACAACAAAATCTCAAACTGTCAGTAAAGTCAACAACACACAACAAAATCTCAAACTGTCAGTAAAGTCAACAACACTCAACAAAATCTCAAACTGTCAGTAAAGTCAACAACACACAACAAAATCTCAACATGTCAGTAAAGTAAACACACAACAAAATCTCAAACTGTCAGTAAAGTCAACAACACACAACAAAATCTCAAACTGTCAGTAAAGTCAACAACACACAACAAAATCTCAAACTGTCAGTAAAGTCAACAACACACAACAAAATCTCAAACTGTCAGTAAAGTCAACACACAACAAAATCTCAAACTGTCAGTAAAGTCAACACACAACAAAATCTCAAACTGTCAGTAAAGTCAACACACAACAAAATCTCAAACTGTCAGTAAAGTCAACAACACACAACAAAATCTCAAACTGTCAGTAAAGTCAACAACACACAACAAAATCTCAAACTGTCAGTAAAGTCAACAACACACAACAAAATCTCAAACTGTCAGCAAAGTCAACACACAACAAAATCTCAAACTGTCAGTAAAGTCAACAACACACAACAAAATCTCAAACTGTCAGTAAAGTCAACACACAACAAAATCTCAAACTGTCAGTAAAGTCAACAACACACAACAAAATCTCAAACTGTCAGTAAAGTCAACACACAACAAAATCTCAAACTGTCAGTAAAGTCAACAACACACAACAAAATCTCAAACTGTCAGTAAAGTCAACAACACACAACAAAATCTCAAACTGTCAGTAAAGTCAACACACACAAAATCTCAAACTGTCAGTAAATCTCTCAAACTGTCAGTAAAGTCAACACACAACAAAATCTCAAACTGTCAGTAAAGTCAACAACACACAACAAAATCTCAAACTGTCAGCAAAGTCAACACACAACAAAATCTCAAACTGTCAAAAAGTCAACAACACTCTCAGACTGTCAGTAAAATCAACAACACACAACAAAATCTCAGACTGTCAGTAAAGTCAACAACACACAACAAAGTCTCAAACTGTCAGTAAAGTCAACACACAACAAAATCTCAAACTGTCAGTAAAGTCAACACACAACAAAATCTCAAACTGTCAGTAAAGTCAACAACACACAACAAAATCTCAAACTGTCAGTAAAGTCAACAACACACAACAAAATCTCAAACTGTCAGTAAAGTCAACACACAACAAAATCTCAAACTGTCAGTAAAGTCAACAACACACAACAAAATCTCAAACTGTCAGTAAAGTCAACACACAACAAAATCTCAAACTGTCAGTAAAGTCAACACACAACAAAATCTCAAACTGTCAGTAAAGTCAACTCACAACAAAATCTCAAACTGTCAGTAAAGTCAACACACAACAAAATCTCAAACTGTCAGTAAAGTCAACAACACACAACAAAATCTCAGACTGTCAGTAAAATCAACAACACACAACAAAATCTCAGACTGTCAGTAAAGTCAACAACACACAACAAAGTCTCAAACTGTCAGTAAAGTCAACACACAACAAAATCTCAAACTGTCAGTAAAGTCAACAACACACAACAAAATCTCAGACTGTCAGTAAAATCAACAACACACAACAAAATCTCAGACTGTCAGTAAAGTCAACAACACACAACAAAATCTCAAACTGTCAGTAAAGTCAACACACAACAAAATCTCAAACTGTCAGTAAAGTCAACAACACACAACAAAATCTCAGACTGTCAGTAAAATCAACAACACACAACAAAATCTCAAACTGTCAGTAAAGTCAACAACACACAACAAAATCTCAAATTGTCAGTAAAGTCAACACACAACAAAATCTCAGACTGTCAGTAAAGTCAACAACACACAACAAAATCTCAAACTGTCAGTAAAGTCAACAACACACAACAAAATCTCAAACTGTCAGTAAAGTCAACACACAACAAAATCTCAGACTGTCAGTAAAGTCAACACACAACAAAATCTCAAACTGTCGGCAAAGTCAACACTACAATTTTGCTCAAAAAAGATACAGTGAAATATGGTTACACATTGAAATATGGTTACACATTGAAATATGGTTACACATTGAAATATGGTAACAGTCATCATATTTCAGGGTACATCATTATTATCAGATAAAAGTGTAAACTGAAAGTGTAAGTACATGAAGATTTGTTTTCTTTATGATAGATGCCTAAGATAGAGGTGAGGTCTGGTGCCAAACCATCCCATTATGCCTACCCTGCTAATCTGGAGGAGAAAAAAGACAAAGCCAAGGAAAAGGTAGAGACTGCAGTCCTCAGTATCACCGCCAAACAGAAGAAAAAGGATGAGAAAAAAGACAAAACTGACGCAGACAAAATGGAAGTTGTAAGTACTGTAGATAGTAATTCTGTCTTATTTTAATGCAGAGTTATCTGCTCTTACGAGCTGGTAATAATTGTTACATTATTAATTTGCATGTGAAAGTTGTGTTCTTTTTCTCACAAATTTATAATATTACTTTCACAAACAAATTACGTAACAGACAAAACCCGCTTAAGAGCAGATAACTCTACAAAAACACGGAATAGGAAAAAAGATGTATGTCTAGAATTTTTACATGTATTTATCTTTCTCAAGCCAGGCTATAAAACCGGGAACTGTGCAAATTGTAATATATGGAAGGAATTTAGGTTTCATACATTAACACAATTTTGATTATATTACAAATATAAAGTAGCTTTTCATCTCAGGATTGAGGATGGGCTCCGTATTATAGGGTGATATATGGCATTTCTACCGCAATTTGATAGGTTTTTGTTGTATAATTATGTTATTTTGATCTGGGAAGGATATTCCAAGGAAAGTGTGATATGCTATATGTTATTAGAGTAAGGAGAGGGTGGTAGCACAGTTTAGAGGTAAACACACAGGATGAGATAAGAAGGAGGGGAGGGAAAGGGGATAACACATGTAGTTTCTGACAGGGTAAGTAATAATTGGGATGACTAGTTCCAAGGCCAAACAATAGTAATTTAAGTGAAGATTGAGAGCTTTGAGAGGCTGCCTGCAATGCTCTTGATCTGTACAGGGCATTGGTCAGTGTTCTCATCACAGGAAAAATCATTCAATTTGGGAAAGATACCAGGCATTCCACTGTCTCCATTTATGCTTGTAAACAATATCTTAAACAAGCTGTTCATTTATCCTTGTCTTTAAAGTCATATACTATTACCATTCACCAAGAACAGCAAGCATTTTATTTTATTACCTACCGATATATCATTGGATTAGATTTAACCTGACAAATACAAAATCACCTATCATCACTTAGAGATATATCGCAGGGCCAAACAAAAGTTGAAGCCAGAAGAGGCTAGAAGCACTACAAATGGTAAATGTTTTCAGTACTGTGGCTGCAGATCAGTTTTAGCCTCTGTTGATATATTGAAGATGTCTATAAGACTTCTAGTAATCTTCCCTAAATATTTTATAATCTCATCCAGCCTTCAACTCCTCAAATAATCATCTCTTAGCACAATTTATCTCTAACAGCCTTCACTCTCAGCAAGAATTATCCTTCTTAACCTACCACTCCCACCTAATCAACTCTCAACTAATTATCTCTCAGCATACAACTCTCAAATTATTAACTCTCAACTTATTATCTCTCAGCATACAACTCTCAAATTATCAACTCTCAACTAATTATCTCTCAGCATACAACTCTCAAATTATCAACTCTCAACTAATTATCTCTCAGCATACAACTCTCAAATTATCAACTCTCAACTAATTATCTCTCAGCATACAACTCTCAAATTATCAACTCTCAACTAATTATCTCTCAGCATACAACTCTCAAATTATCAACTCTCAACTAATTATCTCTCAGCATACAACTCTCAAATTATCAACTCTCAACTAATTATCTCTCAGCATACAACTCTCAAATTATCAACTCTCAACTAATTATCTCTCAGCATACAACTCTCAAATTATCAACTCTCAACTAATTATCTCTCAGCATACAACTCTCAAATTATCAACTCTCAACTAATTATCTCTCAGCATACAACTCTCAAATTATCAACTCTCAACTAATTATCTCTCAGCCTACAACTCCCAACTAATTATCTCTCAGCCTACAACTCCCAACTAATTATTTCTCAGCCTACAACTCCCAACTAATAATCTGTCAGCCTACAACTCCCAACTAATTATTTCTCAGCCTGCAACTCCCAACTAATTATTTCTCAGCCTACAACTCCCAACTAATTATCTCTCAGCCTACAACTCCCAACTAATTATTTCTCAGCCTACAACTCCCAACTAATTATTTCTCAGCCTACAACTCCCAACTAATTATTTCTCAGCCTGCAACTCCCAACTAATTATTTCTCAGCCTACAACTCCCAACTAATTATCTCTCAGCCTACAACTCCCAACTAATAATCTGTCAGCCTACAACTCCCTACTAATTATCTGTCAGCTTACAACTCTCAACTGATCAACTCTCAACTAATAATCTGTCAGCCTACAACTCCCAACTAATTATCTCTCAGCCTACAACTCCCAACTAATTATTTCTCAGCCTACAACTCCCAACTAATTATCTGTCAGCCTACAACTCTCAACTAATTAACTGGCAGCTTACAACTCTCAACTGATCAACTCTAACACACTAAGCCTTAATAATCAACTCCCATCCTATAGCACCTTAATAATTATCTACCCAACCTACAACTCCCTAATAATGAATTCCTATGAACAATTCCTAACCTCTAGATCCCAGTCATTTGACTGTCAGTTTAGCAAATTCCAACTAATTAACAACAAACTTACAAATCCTCACTAACTCTCACCCAGCTACCTTTGACCTCTTACCCAATAACACCTTCCCCCGAAGTATCTTTTCCCTACAATTTTACTGTGCACTTCAGTCCTAATCAAACCCTATTTCAGCAGAGGGAGCTATCTATAAAATTGTCATCTTCCTGTCAAGATTCTTCGTTTATATACACTATAAATATATGATTAGATATGTTCTATAATTCTTATAGACATCAGAGGAAGAAGTTCAATGTCCACACACAGGAAACCATGTTAGGCATTTATTATAAAATACAAATGAGAAGTATTGGTCAAGGGAAATAACTCCGTTGGGTTTACTATAATCATATTAATGATTCATAAGAACATCAATCTATTATTATATTAGGACGAAGATGATAAGGAGAAAAAAGAAGAAGAAGAAAAAGCTGAAAAAGAAAAAGCAGAAAAGGAGAAGGCAGAAAAAGAGAAAGCTGAGGAGAAAAAGAAGGAACCAGAACCCAACTTTATGATGTTGTCTAATCCGGCTCGTGTGATGAAGGCACAACTCAAAGTTCTCACACTTCCGGACGGCCGATACATCCCGGTCAAAGATGTAAGTTTATCTGTCTGCTGGTCTTTGCGTGATTTACATACTATACTTAATAGATATGCTTTTCATGTATACTGATGTTTTCTTATCTCCTTTTATCAGAACTTTTGTTTTTGTACTCTTTAAACAAGTGATTCTTGTATGCAGGTGTCCAATGGGGGTATCATAATGCTGAGTAATACAAAGCCAGAAGATCAGGAAGACATCATTGAACCTGTCGCTGGTAAGTCTTTCTCTGATCCCCTTACAGTCTCTCTGGACCTGCTCCCTTTCTTCACGGCACACTTCTCAAATCTCTCTGATGCTATAGTTGTACGTAGTGTGGGGCTGATATTTCTCGATTGTCTTAGTCTGGGTTTGTTTCACAGAGGTTTAATTTTGCACCTGTCTATACATTGGCATTTTTGTATACACATATATATTTGCTGAATTTCGATTCAACGTGAAAATGTTTGCCAGGTTTTTAATTTTGTGCTATTTTTTAATGAGAGCAAATATACTGAAACTGAATTCCCAAACAACACCCCTTTTCTGCAGTATTCAGTTCCTCAAATCCTTGCCCTATCAATCATCACTGAGGCCTTGTTATATCAGTTATGGATGCAAAAACTTGTTATTAAAAAGCTTGCTTAGGAATAATTATTCCATAATTCATCCAAAAATTTCATTTACAATAAATTTCTGTTGATTTTTTGTCTCTTTTTATTTTCATTACGTTAATTTATACCATATTGTAGTAATTAAGATGGCATAAGTCTGGGTTTGGAATGAAGTCGATCTTAGCATGGAGATTTGCCAATATTCATCTGACAGTAGAGTGCAGAATTCCTTCTTGTTTTAAAACAATAAAGTTTTGTTTGATCCTTGTGCCTGAGTGCAGCAGGAAGTGGATTTACAGAGAAACAGATACAGCATCAAAATTAATGTCTGAACATGTAATGTATATATACCATTCATGCATTTGCTTTATTTTAGCGATGATTTTGTGGTAATTATTTATTACAGGTATAAATTTTTTTAGCTAAAACCAATTTTGTTTAGACGATTAAAAGTCTCTCATGATCTTTTTAAATAAGGAGTAGATAAAGGTAGGATTTTCTCGTCCAATGGGACCTGTGTTGGTTTTACAGCCTTGACTTCGTTGCTGTGTGGTAAGGTCTGTTTTGGAAATTGGTTAACTCGTATCGTGTCTATAGGTTATATGTAGGAGATTTTAGCTGATGGCACATGCAGATTCAATTTTTCCAAATCTACACTGCTGCAATTGAAAATAATAAAACAATTTAATATCAAGAATGTATTTTCAACAAATAGTTATGAGAAATTGTGACTGTTGGGGATTTTAAAGAGCTGTTAGACCCTTCATTTGAATTTCAGATCTATTTTTCTAGACTCAGGGGAACTAAAGATGTCTTTATCTGTGTGACCAAAGGCGTGATTGGCTGGCAGAGAGCCAGTCTATAAAACTGACAACCCCAAACCTAGCTTTAAACTGTTGTCAGAACTACTGATTATGACTATTTAGATACATATATACCTATTAAAACATAATATCACTGTGAATATTTTAAAACTGTTCAATGATAACTCTTATTTAAGCTGATGGTCAGATGTGTTTGCCTGGCAAGATTCAAGGTTTTAAATTGGTCCAGACAAATGTTGCTGATGCTGTATGTAAAAGCTCGAATATAAACCGCTCCCAACAGTTGAAATCAATCCTACTCAATTATTTGCAATGGTTTGTTGATATCTACGTTTGTCTGCTGTAAGCTGTAAAACTAGATGAATGGTTTTGTGCCCGTCATCAATGTCTTTCTGGTAATGAGAAAATTATTCTTGTTTAGCAGGTTGCATCGGTAATAGAAATTCATGATTTTTCATACATCTCTGAAATGGGTTATAATATAAATAAATGGTTAACAGATTAAAGAAAAACAGATCAGTTCAGGAAAAGTTTGTTGAAATGAAAAACTACTTAAAAAAACGGATTTTTGTTGAAATAACAGACTCCATGCTAGTATCAAAAAGAAGAAGGAAAAGTATTTGCATACAATATATTCAAAAACAAGTATTATTTAGCAAGTATTTCTGTCAAATCGTAACACCAGTATCACAACAAAAGTGATTCAGTTTATAATAATTAAGAAACAATTTTTGAATTCATGGGACTCAAAAACTATGCCAGGGATCTTGATCTAAGTGGAAACTGTCTAATCACCTACGTAACTGTTGTAAGTGGTTCCATACTTTTTCATACTGTAAAATCACATTTTTTGTGGGGCTTAATTTTCGTGGGTTTTATTTTCTGTTAATTTACTATTTCATTGATATTTGATTTTGTCGAGAAATATAGCTCAATATATCTGCTTAAACTTTAACAGTTCTTAGACTTATTATTAATTGATTGATAAATGTATCCAGAAATAAAACCCCTACAAAAATGAATAATTTCACAGAATTTGATCAGTTGACGACAGGCTTAGAAACAATATTAGGTGTCAGCCAAGGTCAGCTTTAATGACAACACTGATGGCAGGTAGTTTATCTGGTCAAATACAAGAATTACTGATGATGTATGGACCTGCTGTGTCAGATCAATTCTATCTGACCGTCCTAAGAAAGCCAACTGAAAACTGGCTAGCTGGTTTCCTCGGTAAAAGTTCATTGTGACCAGTACTCTACACCAGAAGTTGTGTTAATGCACCAATGTCCAGTCCAATATGTGTAGGTTTAGATTTGCATGCTGTTTTCACTTCTGTTCAAATGGAAAATTGTTAATCCTTAATCAAGTGTTCACTGATCGATACCATTACACTACTGGTGTGTTTCTTTGTACTATAAATGGCTGTTAGGACCACACCAAGTCCTGGAAACACCACTACACATATAATACAGACATGTATCAAAATAGAAAAGAAAGCCAGCTTATTTGTAAATTGATCAAGATTTAGGAATCAAATTGAAATCAAAGTGCTGTGCTGAATCTGTGCATTGCCGATTAGAGAGGCTGATCGCATTAGGTTCTGTCCAATACTCATGACTTGTCTCCGTAGCTGAAGTCTTCCATGCTGCAAACCTTATTATAGTGTATAACTGCAGACGGCTGGGTACTGTAGTGTGGTGAAGCAATAAAGTAAATCAATTGAAAGGGGAGACAACCTAAAGTTGGTTCATTAAACAATGGACTGGACATACCTCTGAATGCGAGATTTGAGAAATTTCTCAAGAATTTTTTCTCATTCTTTTTTTTGTTTTATCCACTGAATCCTGAATCAGATACATTTGTTCTGTGTATGTAGCATAAAGTAAACTGTACCCACTGAATCCTGAATCAGATACATTTGTTCTGTGTATGTAGCATAAAGTAAAGTGTACCCACTGAATCCTGAATCAGATACATTTGTTCTGTGTATGTAGCATAAAGTAAAGTGTACCCACTGAATCCTGAATCAGATACATTTGTTCTGTGTATGTAGCATTAAGTAAACTGTACCCACTGAATCCTGAATCAGATACATTTGTTCTGTGTATGTAGCATAAAGTAAACTGTACCCACTGAATCCTGAATCAGATACATTTGTTCTGTGTATGTAGCATAAAGTAAACTGTACCCACTGAATCCTGAATCAGATACATTTGTTCTGTGTATGTAGCATAAAGTAAAGTGTACCCACTGAATCCTGAATCAGATACATTTGTTCTGTGTATGTAGCATAAAGTAAACTGTACCCACTGAATCCTGAATCAGATACATTTGTTCTGTGTATGTAGCATAAAGTAAACTGTACCCACTGAATCCTGAATCAGATACATTTGTTCTGTGTATGTAGCATAAAGTAAACTGTACCCATTTAAGCTTCATTTACTATTCATCAGAATACACATAACTTGTGAACTAGATATCCTTTGCCTTGACCCTTGTTCTGTTAACCAGCTTTCTTTTGCCTCACAAATTTCACTATAAAATCAGAATTGCAAAGCTGTTGATGAATTGAATTGAAACTGTAGGGGAAAAAATACTGTTTTTCCAGAACTGATTCTTTTGATACTTAGAAATAAATATTGTTGTAATACTGTACATATAATCTTGATTCCTATCTTATTATGAAATTTGGAATATCAGAATCAAAATGCAAAATATCTATTCAAGATTAATTCTGACTTGGGCCTTTGGATAAGTCCTAGATTTTATCAGAGACTAATCCAGGATGGACCTTTCAACAAGTGGCAGTTTTCAGTTTATTCTCAGTGCAGTTGAACTACGTTCTAAGGTGCTAAAGCTACTGCCCTTGTTAGCAGATGTTTACTTTACACCCTGCTTTTATGCAATGAGAAATGGACCTGTGTAGGCAATGACAGACAGTGATTGGGTAGCCTGCCTAAATCAACCTTCATTAACCACCTCATCTGTCTCCATAAAAACTTTAAAAGAAATATTGGCACAGCCATGTGTTGGAAATGGGCCTCAGCCTAATGCTGTGATGCAAATTCTTGTAAAAGCAATTTATCGAAAATTGTGGTTAATTTTTAAATCCATCAGCACACATGCTTTCCAGCTGTGATGTAGTGGTAATACGTTTGGTTATCAGAAGAGCCTACCATCTTCCATGATAGATTTGACCCCGCCATTTCTGCTCCTGATACAATTGACCCATGCATTGCTTCCGTTTCTCAATGACAGCTCGGCATACCCAGCCAAGGATTCTCTCGGACTTTATGTCTGTCATTAGGCTGAAGTTGAGAATTGCTGCTCATTTCCCCTTCACCTTGAATTTCCCACAGCAATAAACACTACAGCAGAATTACGCTCTTAATAAACAGTAACATGTGTAAGAGGCTTCATTGATGCCAATGTTCATAAAATGTGAATGTTGTTTAGGTTGAAGTAGATAGTAGTGACATGAAAGGTTATATGTATATAGTTCATTCACGAAGCTATAAACAGCAATACCATTTAATGTTTTTACATTGGAAATTTTCTGTAATAGTGATCTATTAGCATTAGAGGTTACAGGTATACAAATCAGTCACTTTGCTGCGAACCTTTTGTTTTTATGTCAGTGTTCACATGTTGATGTTACAGAAATTGAACACTGTGTAATATGTATTATCATGTGAAAATATTGCAGAAAAACAATAAAATATGGAGATCAATGTTCTGGATAGAGAAGTACTATATTCTGTGTAGGGCTTAACATTGTAAGGAATAGGGTATTACAATGTTCTGTGTAGGGCTTAACATTGTAAGGAATAGGACATACAATGTTCTATGTAGGGCTAAACATTGTAAGGAATAGGACATACAATGTTCTGTGTAGGGCTTAACATTGTAAGGAATAGGACATACAATGTTCTGTAGAGGGCTTAACATTGTAAGGAATAGGACATACAATGTTCTGTAGAGGGCTTAACATTGTAAGGAATAGGACATACAATGTTCTGTAGAGGGCTTAACATTGTAAGGAATAGGACATACAATGTTCTGTAGAGGGCTAAACATTGTAAGGAATAGGACATACAATGTTCTGTAGAGGGCTAAACATTGTAAGGAATAGGACATACAATGTTCTGTAGAGGGCTTAACATTGTAAGGAATAGGACATACAATGTTCTGTAGAGGGCTTAACATTGTAAGGAATAGGACATACAATGTTCTATGTAGGGCTTAACATTGTAAGGAATAGGACATACAATATTCTGTGTAGGGCTAAACATTGTAAGGAATAGGACATACAATGTTCTGTGTAGGGCTTAACATTGTAAGGAATAGGACATACAATATTCTGTGTAGGGCTTAACATTGTAAGGAATAGGGCATACAATGTTCTGTAGAGGGCTAAACATTGTAAGGAATAGGACATACAATGTTCTGTAGAGGGCTAAACATTGTAAGGAATAGGACATACAATGTTCTGTAGAGGGCTTAACATTGTAAGGAATAGGACATACAATGTTCTGTGTAGGACTTAACATTGTAAGGAATAGGACATACGATGTTCTGTGTAGGGCTAAGATTTGTAAGGAATAGGGCATTACAATGTTCTGTGTAGGGCTAAACATTGTAAGGAATAGGGCATTACAATGTTCTGTGTAGGACTTAACATTGTAAGGAATAGGACATACAATGTTCTGTGTAGGGCTTAACATTGTAAGGAATAGGACATACAATGTTCTGTGTAGGGCTTAACATTGTAAGGAATAGGACATACACTGTTCTGTAGAGGGCTTAACATTGTAAGGAATAGGACATACAATGTTCTGTAGAGGGCTTAACATTGTAAGGAATAGGGCATTAGAATGTTCTGTGTAGGGCTTAACATTGTAAGGAATAGGACATACACTGTTCTGTAGAGGGCTAAACATTGTAAGGAATAGGACATACAATGTTCTGTGTAGGACTTAACATTGTAAGGAATAGGACATATACTGTTCTGTAGAGGGCTAAACATTGTAAGGAATAGGACATACAATGTTCTGTGTAGGACTTAACATTGTAAGGAATAGGACATACAATGTTCTGTGTAGGGCTTAACATTGTAAGGAATAGGACATACAATGTTCTGTGTAGGGCTTAACATTGTAAGGAATAGGACATACAATGTTCTGTAGAGGGCTTAACATTGTAAGGAATAGGACATACAATGTTCTGTGTAGGGCTTAACATTGTAAGGAATAGGACATACAATGTTCTGTGTAGGGCTTAACATTGTAAGGAATAGGGCATTACAATGTTCTGTGTAGGGCTTAACATTGTAGGGGATAGGGCATTACAATGTTCTGTGTAAGGCTAAACATTGTAAGGAATAGGGCATTACAATGTTCTGTGTAGGACTTAACATTGTAGGGGATAGGGCATTACAATGTTCTGTATAAGGCTAAACATTGTAAGGAATAGGGCATTACAATGTTCTGTGTAAGGCTAAACATTGTAAGGAATAGGGCATTACAATGTTCTTTGTAGGGCTTAACATTGTAAGGAATAGGACATACAATGTTCTGTGTAGGGCTTAACATTGTAAAGATTGGGGCATTACAATGTTCTGTGTAGGACCTAACATTGTAAGGAATAGGACATACAATGTTCTGTAGACGGCTAAACATTGTAAGGAATAGGACATACACTGTTCTGTGTAGGACTTAACATTGTAGGGGATAGGGCATTACAGTGTTCGGTGTAAGGCTAAACATTGTAAGGAATAGGACATACAATGTTCTGTGTAGGGCCTAACATTGTAAGGAATAGGACATACAGTGTTCTGTGTAGGGCTTAACATTGTAAGGAATAGGACATACAATGTTCTGTAGAGGGCTTAACATTGTAAGGAATAGGACATACAATGTTCTGTAGACGGCTAAACATTGTAAGGAATAGGACATACAATGTTCTGTGTAGGGCCTAACATTGTAAGGAATAGGACATACAGTGTTCTGTGTAGGGCTTAACATTGTAAGGAATAGGACATACAATGTTCTGTGTAGGGCTTAACATTGTAAGGAATAGGACATACAGTGTTCTGTGTAGGGCTTAACATTGTAAGGAATAGGACATACACTGTTCTGTGTAGGGCTTAACATTGTAAGGAATAGGACATACACTGTTCTGTAGAGGGCTTAACATTGTAAGGAATAGGACATACAATGTTCTGTGTAGGGCTTAACATTGTAAGGAATAGGACATACAATGTTCTGTAGAGGGCTTAACATTGTAAGGAATAGGACATACAGTGTTCTGTGTAGGGCTTAACATTGTAAGGAATAGGGCATACAATGTTCTGTAGAGGGCTTAACATTGTAAGGAATAGGACATACACTGTTCTGTGTAGGGCTTAACATTGTAAGGAATAGGACATACAATGTTCTGTAGAGGGCTAAACCATGTGAAATATTAAGCAAAACCATTAACATATTGTCAGAGTATGATAGATACACAGGATATTTACAAACAGCTCTAAATGTTAAAGACAATGATTGTCATTAGGTTAATCAGAAAAGGTAAAATCTGTCTGTAGTTTGTATACATCTATCTGTCAGGTCAGGAACAGAATGTAAGTAGGAACCATGTGTGCTTGTTATTTCAATGATTGATTCGTTATTTCCAGCGGGTGGACCAAAGACTGAAGAGGAGGAGGAACCGGAACCACCAGAGCCATTCGAATGGACAGAAGATTGAGGATTTACTCTCAAGTCAGTGTACAGGTAATTTACCCTTTATCAGGTCACTGTTGTACCAGGATTTCTCTCTCTGGTAAATATTGGTTTAGTATAGCTCAGAGTCAGTAACTCAGTGTACGGGTAATTTACCCTTTATTAGGTCACCATTGTACCAGGATTTCTCTCTTTGGTAAATATTGGTTTAGTACAGCTCAGAGTCAGTAACTCAGTATACAGGTAATTTACCCTTTATTAGGTCACTGTTGTACCAGGATTTCTCTCTTTGGTAAATATTGGTTTAGTATAGCTCAGAGTCAGTAACTCAGTGTACGGGTAATTTACCCTTTATTAGGTCACTGTTGTACCAGGATTTCTCTCTCTGGTAAATATTGGTTTAGTATAGCTCAGAGTCAGTTACTCAGTGTACAGGTAATTTACCCTTTATCAGGTCACTGTTGTACCAGGATTTCTCTCTCTGGTAAATATTGGTTTAGTATAGCTCAGAGTCAGTTACTCAGTGTACAGGTAATTTACCCTTTATCAGGTCACCATTGTACCAGGATTTCTCTCTCTGTAAATATTTGTTTAGTATAGCTCAGAGTCAGTTACTCAGTGTACAGGTAATTTACCCTTTATCAGGTCACCATTGTACCAGGATTTCTCTCTCTGGTAAATATTGGTTTAGTATAGCTCAGAGTCAGTTACTCAGTGTACGGGTAATTTACCCTTTATTAGGTCACTGTTGTACCAGGATTTCTCTCTGGTAAATATTGGTTTAGTATAGCTCAGAGTCAGTAACTCAGTGTACGGATAATTTACCCTTTATTAGGTCACCATTGTACCAGGATTTCTCTCTCTGTAAATATTGGTTTAGTATAGCTAAGAGTCAGTTACTCAGTGTACAGGTAATTTACCCTTTATTAGGTCACTGTTGTACCAGGATTTCTCTCTCTGTAAATATTTGTTTAGTATAGCTCAGAGTCAGTTACTCAGTGTACAGGTAATTTACCCTTTATCAGGTCACCATTGTACCAGGATTTCTCTCTCTGTAAATATTTGTTTAGTATAGCTCAGAGTCAGTAACTCAGTGTACAGGTAATTTACCCTTTATTAGGTCACTATTGTACCAGGATTTCTCTCTTAGGTAAATATTGGTTTAGTATAGCTCGGAGTCAGTAACTCAGTGTACGGGTAATTTACCCTTTATTAGGTCACTGTTGTACCAGGATTTCTCTCTCTGGTAAATATTGGTTTAGTATAGCTCAGAGTCAGTTACTCAGTGTACAGGTAATTTACCCTTTATTAGGTCACCATTGTACCAGGATTTCTCTCTCTGGTAAATATTGGTTTAGTACAGCTCAGAGTCAGTAACTCAGTGTACGGGTAATTTACCCTTTATTAGGTCACTGTTGTACCAGGATTTCTCTCTCTGTAAATATTGGTTTAGTATAGCTCAGAGTCAGTAACTCAGTGTACAGGTAATTTACCCTTTATCAGGTCACCATTGTACCAGGATTTCTCTCTCTGTAAATATTGGTTTAGTATAGCTCAGAGTCAGTAACTCAGTGTACAAGTAATTTACCCTTTATCAGGTCACTGTTGTACCAGGATTTCTCTCTCTGGTAAATATTGGTTTAGTATACTCAGTTACTCAGTGTACAGGTAATTTACCCTTTATTAGGTCACTGTTGTACCAGGATTTCTCTCACTGGTAAATATTGGTTTAGTACAGCTCAGAGTCAGTAACTCAGTGTACAGGTAATTTACCCTTTATCAGGTCACCATTGTACCAGGATTTCTCTCTCTGTAAATATTGGTTTAGTATAGCTCAGAGTCAGTTACTCAGTGTACAGGTAATTTACCCTTTATCAGGTCACCATTGTACCAGGATTTCTCTCTCTGTAAATATTGGTTTAGTATAGCTCGGAGTCAGTAACTCAGTGTACAGGTAATTTACCCTTTATCAGGTCACTGTTGTACCAGGATTTCTCTCACTGGTAAATATTGGTTTAGTATAGCTCAGAGTCAGTTACTCAGTGCACAGGTAATTTACCCTTTATCAGGTCACTATTGTACCAGGATTTCTCTCTCTGTAAATATTGGTTTAGTATAGCTCAGTCAGTAACTCAGTGTACGGGTAATTTACCCTTTATTAGGTCACTGTTGTACCAGGATTTCTCTCTCTGGTAAATATTGGTTTAGTATAGCTCAGAGTCAGTTACTCAGTGTACAGGTAATTTACCCTTTATTAGGTCACTGTTGTACCAGGATTTCTCTCTCTGTAAATATTGGTTTAGTATAGCTCAGAGTCAGTTACTCAGTGTACAGGTAATTTAGGCTCTATCAGCTAGGTATTGGGTAAGTGTAGTTCACAGAATGGAGACAAGATATTACAATTAGCATTCAAAAGTGATTAATAATCGTACCCAAAGGAGAAGACCAAGAAAGATAACTCTTGCTGTCCTAGATCTTTAGTGTTGTAATAATTGTGTATTATAAAACATTGTTCTTGTCTTTGTAGGTGAATGGAACCTGACCTGGAACAACTTCTTCAGTTTTATTTAGAGACTCTGTTTCATGCTTTGATGAATCAACACAGTTAAAAGTAATTACTCCATTTAATCATTTGTTGGTGTTTTGGATAAAAGGTGTGAAACGATAAAATGTTGTGGTTTGTGAAACAAAGAGGATTGTATGGATTGTGAAGGACAAACTTACTGGTATCTACAACTACATAGTAAAACATTATGTTGTAGAACTTTTGATAAATAAAAGTAACATTGGTCATGGACTTGTCAACAATATGGACTACATGATGAAGTGAATGTTCAACACGTTACTGTAGTAAATCATCTCCTTGGTAGAAACGTTGTGAAAAATAAAATCTTTCTCACTTATTTTTGTTGTTTTGTTGTCTGTTTAAATAAATCTATGAAAATATGACCTAAATAACATTAATGAGATATATGTTATAGAATATAATGGTTATTTAGTGGCTTTAAACTATAATGTTACAGAGTGTCTATGATCCAGTGGTGTTATAGTGATAACTGCTAAATCTAATGACACTTTAATATTCAATATAATTCAATACTACATTTAGTTTACCAATAGTTTCTAAGTCATTGTTATGGGACTAATTTGTTTGTAAAGGATTAGTTTATCCCTACTTGTGAAAGTCTTTACATTCTTTATACGAGAGTGAGCTACAGTGCTCATTGTATCTTCTGCCTTATAGTTTATATTTCACTTCAATTTACTTTCGATTACTCTCCGATATATTTTTTTTATATTAGTTTACTGGTCAGAAAAACTTATGTCATGGCCTGTCATCTGTCCAGCTGTTGTATCAAAACTATATCTCGTAATCAGCTGTGTTGCTATAGATACAGGACATTTACAAGTGAGTCTTAAAAGTCTTGTTTTATTGATGACACAACATAATCTTTCTACTGCCTTACCTTTGAAGGAATGCTGAAAACAGGAATTTTTAACTCAAAAGTTTGAAAAGATTTCTCAAAGTATCAAATAAAATTCAAAATAATTGTCATAAAACAATACAAAATTGTAACATCAGTTCTGACAAGAGCTGTTGCTTGTAAAAACAGTAATTTTACAGATAAGAAAACATTTGATTTAAAGTTATAATGTCAGTTTGGTTTCTCTGCTTCTATCTTATCTATACATGTACTTGGTGTATATAATTGGGGGAGCTATGTTACAAGCAAGTGAATTATTAAAAGATAAGAATGCTGAGCAGGACTTGGAACTGTTAATCAGGGACCTATATCACACTGTACTGGTTTTGATCTACTGTATTGGAGACAAGGGTCCTGATTACTATTATGTAAAGTGTATTGATTGTGGACAACCATTGTCAGCACTCTGCCACCATTAACACAAACTAACAAACAGGTGTGCCTCTAATTACCTTTAAATGTCTGTAGACAATGGCAGATTACTGAGCGGTCCTTATATACCTAGTCCTGATAAGTGTGTTCACCACTGCCTGGTAACACACCCATAGGTCTAGCCTCAGATAAGAAAATTCAACTCTGTCGACCATTAGTTACCATAACAGGACCTTACCACATCAGTCTGTTGGTCAATCCATCAATATACCTAGGTAGACCTAGATAGGCTGTAGGTCTCAGATACTACAATTCATTCAGGTCTTGCACACGTTATAATACGATGTCATTAAAACCAAATTCTCAATGACAAGAGAGGCTCAAGAGTCCTGACTAACTACTATGCTGGGATTATGGGTTACCAAGTCTGTTCAAATTGATTGACCTTGACCCATATTCAAGGTCATTGGAGTCAAAAGAAATAATTTATCTTTAAATGGCTTCTCAATACTGGAGAGGCCCATGATCATATTGGACCAGAAAGGTCTCTCAAGTTTGTTTAAATAGTTGACTGTGATCTACTTAAACCTATTTTTGTACACAATACTATAAAACACTACTATATGAAAAGTGATATTACCAAAATAGGTAACTAAAATTGGTAAAACCACAGGCTGTATATGTAACTCATAGCACTTTAATTCTTAACAGTTACAGTAATTGTGTACTAGGACAATAACGGTAACTGTGTTCTAGGACAGTAACGGTTATTGTGTTCCAGGAGGACAGTAACGGTAATTGTGTACTAGGACAATAACGGTAACTGTGTTCTAGGACAGTAACGGTTATTGTGTTCCAGGAGGACAGTAACGGTTAATGTGTTCCAGGAGGACAGTAACGGTAATTTTGTTCCAGGACAGTAACGGTAATTGTGTTCTAGGACAGGAACGGTAATTGTGTTTAGGACAGTAACGGTATATGTGTTCTAGGACAGTAACGGTAATTGTGTTCTTGGACAGTAACGGTAATTGTGTTCTTGGACAGTAACGGTATATGTGTTCTTGGACAGTAACGGTAATTGTGTTTAGGACAGTAACGGTATATGTGTTCTAGGACAGTAACGGTAATTGTGTTCTAGGACAGTAACGGTAATTGTGTTCTTGGACAGTAACGGTATATGTGTTCTTGGACAGTAACGGTAATTGTGTTCTAGGACAGGAACGGTAATTGTGTTCTAGGACAGGAACGGTAATTGTGTTCTTGGACAGTAACGGTATATGTGTTCTTGGACAGTAACGGTATATGTGTTCTTGGACAGTAACGGTAATTGTGTTCTAGGACAGGAACGGTAATTTTGTTCCAGGACAGTAGGACAGGAACGGTAATTGTGTTTAGGACAGTAACGGTATATGTGTTCTAGGACAGTAACGGTAATTGTGTTCTAGGACAGTAACGGTAATTGTGTTCTTGGACAGTAACGGTATATGTGTTCTAGGACAGTAACGGTATATGTGTTCTTGGACAGTAACGGTAATTGTGTTCTAGGACAGGAACGGTAATTGTGTTTAGGACAGTAACGGTATATGTGTTCTTGGACAGTAACGGTAATTGTGTTCTAGGACAGGAACGGTAATTTTGTTCCAGGACAGTAACGGTAATTGTGTTCTAGGACAGGAACGGTAATTGTGTTTAGGACAGTAACGGTATATGTGTTCTTGGACAGTAACGGTAATTGTGTTCTAGGGCAGTAACGCTAATTGTGTTCCAGGACAGTGACGGTAATTTTGTTCCAGGACAGTAACGGTAATTGTGTTCTAGGACAGGAACGGTAATTTTGTTCCAGGACAGTAACGGTAATTGTGTTCTAGGACAGTAACGGTATATGTGTTCTTGGACAGTAACGGTAATTGTGTTCTAGGACAGGAACGGTAATTTTGTTCCAGGACAGTAACGGTAATTGTGTTCTAGGACAGTAACGGTAATTGTGTTCTAGGACAGGAACGGTAATTGTGTTTAGGACAGTAACGGTATATGTGTTCCAGGACAGTAACGCTAATTGTGTTCCAGGACAGTAACGGTAATTGTGTTCTAGTATAGCTACGATATTTGTGTTCTAGGACAGTAACGGTAATTTTCCACTCTAACAGAACCAGTACAAAAAATTACATTTCCACGAACATATCACACGAGAACTACCGTTTTAAAAAGTCTTCCACAATAACGAGCGTTAAATATTAAGATCTCCGAGCGAGCTTTAAAGGAGGGACTTTAGTGTGAAGAATTTAAGGATAAAAAATAAAATTTACTTTAGATGAAAGCGGCAATTTTCTGTATATGGAATGGCCGTGTGTGACTAAGGGTCCCGGTGTACCTTATTGATCCCACTACTACGTGTATTTCTACACCCAATCAGCCAGAACAGACAGCATAAACACCACCACCACTAGCAGTAATTCTAATTCAAATGTTATCAAACCTGTTGAGATATAGCTCTATTGTTGAGATATGTGCACGTGGTGCATGAATACATAAGTCCTTGGCTTCATGACTTCTACATAACAATTATCGATATCGATATACCACGACAGAATGACTTCTCTGTAATAATTATCTATATACCACGACAGAATGACTTCTCTGTAATAATTATCTATATACCACGACAGAATGACTTCTCTGTAATAATTATCTATATACCACGACAGAATGACTTCTCTGTAATAATTATCTATATACCACGACAGAATGACTTCTCTGTAATAATTATCTATATACCACGACAGAATGACTTCTCTGTAATAATTATCGATATCTATATACCACGACAGAATGACTTCTCTGTAATAATTATCTATATACCACGACAGAATGACTTCTCTGTAATAATTATCGATATCTATATACCACGACAGAATGACTTCTCTGTAATAATTATCTATATACCACGACAGAATGACTTCTCTGTAATAATTATCTATATACCACGACAGAATGACTTCTCTGTAATAATTATCTATATACCACGACAGAATGACTTCTCTGTAATAATTATATATATACCACGACAGAATGACTTCTCTGTAATAATTATCGATATATATACCACGACAGAATGACTTCTCTGTAATAATTATCTATATACCACGACAGAATGACTTCTCTGTAATAATTATCGATATCTATATACCACGACAGAATGACTTCTCTGTAATAATTATCGATATCTATATACCACGACAGAATGACTTCTCTGTAATAATTATCGATCTCTATATACCACGACAGAATGACTTCTCTGTAATAATTATCTATATACCACGACAGAATGACTTCTCTGTAATAATTATCGATATCTAAATACCACGACAGAATGACTTCTCTGTAATAATTATCTATATACCACGACAGAATGACTTCTCTGTAATAATTATCGATATCTATATACCACGACAGAATGACTTCTCTGTAATAATTATCTATATCTATATACCACGACAGAATGACTTCTCTGTAATAATTATCTATATACCACGACAGAATGACTTCTCTGTAATAATTATCTATAATAATTATCTATATCTATATACCACGACAGAATGACTTCTCTGTAATAATTATCTATATACCACGACAGAATGACTTCTCTGTAACAATTATCTATATACCACGACAGAATGACTTCTCTGTAATAATTATCGATATCTATATACCACGACAGAATGACTTCTCTGTAATAATTATCGATATCTATATACCACGACAGAATGACTTCTCTGTAATAATTATCTATATACCACGACAGTAATAATTATCGACTTACTCTTCTCTGTAATAATTATCGATATCTATATACCACGACAGAATGACTTCTCTGTAATAATTATCTATATACCACGACAGAATGACTTCTCTGTAATAATTATCGATCTCTATATACCACGACAGAATGACTTCTCTGTAATAATTATCTATATACCACGACAGAATGACTTCTCTGTAATAATTATCGATATCTATATACCACGACAGAATGACTTCTCTGTATATATATACCATATATATACCACGACAGAATGACTTCTCTGTAATAATTATCTATATACCACGACAGAATGACTTCTCTGTAATAATTATCCACGACAGAATGACTATTATATATATACCACGACAGAAGGACTTCTCTGTAATACTTATCTATATACCACGACAGAATGACTTCTCTGTAATAATTATCTATATACCACGACAGAATGACTTCTCTGTAATAATTATCTATATACCTCGACAGAATAACTTCTCTGTAATAATTATCTATATACCACGACAGAATGACTTCTCTGTAATAATTATCTATATACCACGACAGAATGACTTCTCTGTAATAATTATCGATATCTATATACCACGACAGAATGACTTCTCTGTAATAATTATCGATATCTATATACCACGACAGAATGACTTCTCTGTAATAATTATCTATATACCACGACAGAATGACTTCTCTGTAATAATTATCGATATCTATATACCACGACAGAATGACTTCTCTGTAATAATTATCGATATCTATATACCACGACAGAATGACTTCTCTGTAATAATTATCGATATCTATATACCACGACAGAATGACTTCTCTGTAATAATTATCTATATACCACGACAGAATGACTTCTCTGTAATAATTATCTATATACCACGACAGAATGACTTCTCTGTAATAATTATCGATATCTATATACCACGACAGAATGACTTCTCTGTAATAATTATCGATATCTATATACCACGACAGAATCACCTCAGATTCAGTAGATCAAAATACCTACCCACGTGACATTTTCTAAACAGAAATGTTCACACGATATTATTTTATGTAAAAGTAAATGGTTATATTGGTCAAAGTACCGATAACCATTTTGATATTATCTTAATTTTTAGCAGTTGGGTCCTTATCTTTATCATCTTTTTAAAACTTAAACACAAAAAATATATTTTATATATGATGTTTCACCAAGCTACATGGACATATTTATCTGACGAAGGTTTCAGTGACAAGGAAGCATTTTACTGTGGTGATCACGACTGACTTCTACCCAAGTGTTGTCACTCGATGTGATCGTTTTCTGTTTCCTGGCGTAGTTTATCTATATAAAAAGTTGTTATCCGGAGCTAAGCTGTGACATGCACAAACTTCCTCGAGTCAGAACCTTGCTCATTGATAATTCGTAGAAGCACAGAGTATTGGTAAAACCATTGTAGGTTTCCTGTGTGCCTCTCCACTCCAACTTGTGAAAAACTTATCGTGTTATCCGAGGCTTAACAGAGAGGTGCCTGGGAGACCCTGCTGGAAGGAAAGAGAGGGCGGGAAGACAAGTATATAGGACTCGATGTCTCATACATACTATTGCCTCAGTTGCCTACAGCTGTAGTTTGTATACTATAGAACAAAGCACGTTAAAGCTTTCTGGATTTGTCTAAATATTTGCCAGACGTATGTCTTTTTGATCTGTTCTCATCTCTGGTAATATTTGAACATAATAAGTTTACGATCCCGGCAGCACTGTATGGTTCAACATTCCCACCGACGTCTAAAAACAAGTACTATATTGGAATTGTGCAGTTCTGGACAAATAAACATCTTTAGAACAATAGTTTTATCTTTCACAAACTCTGACATGAAAACAATTAATTTATTAATTACAGTTTGTTTTATTAAAATGATGAAACTAAATATATGTCCTAGATGTTTAAGTTTCATACATGTAATTATTTTAGAATTATGCCAACTCATTTTGTGTAATAGAAGAGGTCGTAAGATAAAAAATGTGTCGACTATCTGTTCCTTTTAGCTCTATTCCCATGTACGGGTGAACGCACATGCATTGTCCATCCGACCTACCGACAGGGGGGCAGTGTATGTAAGACGGTTGTTTGTTTATGGTAATTTATTCCACACCAATCAGAGGAGAGGGTACTTCTAAACAAGACCTGGTGAGGCGCGGATGATGGTATCGGGTCCCGGGAATGTCGAGTGTCAAAAGACGTGACTACAGAAACGATGTATTATCTATAATTCATTGTCCAAAACTTCGAATCGTTCAATGGTCGTTCTTTGTCTCACCCATATCTGTCACAATAGTCCATCGTCCATCTTGATAACACTTACACCGTTACTAGGTAATGTGGAACTCTGTGCCCCTCAAACAAAGTGTTGAACAGCCCCAAGTTTAGTAGCGATCACACGCAGACAACATTTTGGCGAAATGGCTGTCTAAATCGCCAAGGTCTGCTCTGTGCCAAATCTTCAGTGCTATACGAGTACAGTATTCCCAGACTTCGGCAGCCATGTTGTGAGTGGGGATGCGATGGCAGCTATGACAAAAGAAAAAGTAACATTGTCTCCCTACGCCTCACCAACCTCTTCTCCCAGACTGCAGGCTATCAACCCTCGACTCATCCGCAGACAGGGAATTCTAGGTAAGATATCTTATTGAATATTTCAAACGTTGAATAATTGTTTGGAGAAAGAAACACAAATAAATATTTGTAGTCCTACTGTTATTTTCTGCATTCCCTGTCGTTTTGTGTTTCTGTGTTTCTATGCGAGTTGGAAATATACGAAATGTTTGTTTTTATGGTAAAGAAATGTAACCAATAATTAAATAATTCTGATATTTTGTTTCTTGGTACGATATTTCTAAAAACTGGAATTTGATTTGATGAGTTCGTTCATGATTTGCGGTTTGCCTTAACTCCATCTCGTCTTACTTAACTATGATAATTACATATGTGACGTCATTGTCTATATGGTCCCGGGTTTTTGTCTTACTTAACTATGATAATTACATATTTGTCATCATTGTCTATATGGTCCTGGGTTTTGTCTGAATTAACTATGATAATTATATATGTGACGTCATTGTCTATATGGTCCCGGGTTGTGTCTTACTTAACTATGATAATTACATATGTGACGTCATTGTCTATATGATCCCGGGTTTTGTCTGACTTAACTATGATAATTACATATGTGACGTCATTGTCTGTATGGTCCCGGGTTTTATCTTACTTAACCATAGTAATTATGGATTTCATGACATCGTCCATTGTCTCTGTGTTTTATCTTACTTAATTATGACAGTGAATGTTTTGTTCTGGGCCCCCATTTTGTCTTATATATAGTTTATCGGCACTATTTTTGGTGTCTGGTATAGAGTTTATAAAGCACTTAATTACATATTGTCATCATTGTATATGCCGTTTTGTCAATTAACTATGATAATTATATATGTGACCTTAATGGTATATTTTATAATTATGGATTTCACATCGTAGTGTCTCTGTGTTTTATCAACAGTGTGTTTTGTTCTGAAACATTTTGTCTTATATATAGTTTATCGCATCTATTTTTGGTGCTTTCTTTAAAAAGCACTTCTCTCTCCCTTCTCTCTCTCTCTCTCTCTCTCTCTCTCTCTCTCTCTCTCTCTCTCTCTCTCTCTCTCTCTCTCTCTCTCTCTCTCTCTCTCTCTCTCTCTCTCTCTCTCTCTCTCTCTCTCTCTCTCTCTCTCTCTCTCTCTCTCTCTCTCTCTCTCTCTCTCTCTCCCCCTCTCTCTCTCTCTCTCTCTCTCTCTGTACTCGTGTGATCTTAGAAGTAAAATGATTTGACGTTTCAACCATTAACAAGTAGAAACACTGTATTGATGTTTTAGAGCTTATTTTGTGTGTACTTTTCTAAATAATGCCACCCTACCTACTCCTACAGCACAGCTCTGTATCAGATGTGGAGGCTACAGTGGTTCTGACAATGAGTACTGTATGAAGTGCCGAAGCAGCCAATGGAAGACAAACCCACTCATGGTAAGTTCTGTCTAAAATTTTAGTTTTGGAGAAAAAGTTTGATACATAGTTATACATTTGAGTCATAAATATTGTACAAAAAAAACACACAAATTAATTACATCGTTCAATACAATTTTAAATCTAGCTAGTTACGAATTTATTTACACTACGCAGCTGTTTTGTCCTTTTAAGACTCGTCAGTAATGCTAATAATGATCTAACCTGTTGATAAAAGGTGAGTCATAACGCATTGACAAGTTAACAGAAGCGACTTGTCATTTTGATGATAGGATCTTACTACTGTGGAACAGAACAATATCATCAGAAATACGAAAATTACGAAATTTATTGAACTACGAGGCTAGTACACATTCCCATCTAGACTTTCCTTTCGATCTCTTTGGATTTTCCTCAGTCGTAACGTTGACTTCAAACTTCAGGCCCTACAGGTGTGTGTATTGTACAACCTGGGGTAAACAAGTGGGACGACAACGCTACAATGCGGTGATACGATTACCATTTTTGTTTTTTTCCCTCAACTTGTTTCTAATTATTTTTCATAAATCCTATTTGAGACATTTCGATACGAACCTGGATGATACATTAGAAAATTGTAAATAAGGGTTTGTTTGATCCCAATGTTTCTGTTCCTTGTAGAGGAACTATGATGATGTATACCGTGTGTACATCGAGGAAAACCGAGAAAAGATGAGAAATATTAAGGTTCTTAGTGAACCAGAAGGTTGGCTGGAAATCAACAAACAGAGAACCAAAGAAGAGCGAAAAGAGAAGAAGAAGCGTTATCAGGAACGACTTAATATACAACATACAGGTCAGTGTGTCGTAAAGCTTAGTACATTGTGGACAGGTATAATAAATAAACATATAATTTGTTGAGTATTTAACAACATTGATGACCGGACACACCTATCCTTGTGTTTGTTTCCTATTTACGTCCTTTCATGTCGTTTCTTGTTGTGTTGATGAAAGAGTTCCTAATTTTCTTCAGTTTTTCATGCGATGCAGAGAAAGTATGAACATAATAAAGATATTTCGAACTCGAATTCACTAAGACTAGGATAAAATATGACCAAAAGAAAGATTTACACGGAGACTGCTGTTGAAATACAAGAATAAGACCAGGCTTTTCAGATGAATTATGTCTTCTACTTTATCGACGACACCCGTCATACAAATAGTGGAAAATGATTTTAATTGTCTAGTATACTTTCTCCCCGATATATTGAGGTATACGTGAACGCTATCGTAGATTTTTTCCACTTTGACATTTATTTCTATATTCCGTAACTTGTATGGATACTGTGTTGTGGTTTGGTAATGTCGATTGAGACATATTTCTGCCTCTGTATTCTGATGATGTTGTTTTTCCCTCGTGTTACATTTGTCTGTTTATAAACGTTGATGAATTACTTCGATGTTTTACACACATTTCTATTATCACTGTAGGAACTTACTGTGTGGAGTGTAGGCGTTCCGAGAAACAGACCAATGGAAACCTCTGTCTCATATGTGACGCTAAGAGAAGGAGACGGGAGAGAGATAAACGAGAAAAGTCGGATAAGATGGTGAGTGTCGAGTTACCGGGAACTCAGACTAGCTAAGCATTATATCGAATTAACTATGTAAAATCAGAAAACACCAACATAGTAGGATAATCAAAATCCAAACTAGTGAAAAAGTACCAGGAGAATATGACCAGGAGTTCCGGAAGAATAAGTGTCTTCTGCTTCAAGAATTATCTGTTCATTTTACATGATCTATTCCCAAGTTGATGATATGTTTTGATTACAGTTCCTGTTTGAGGATATAACTCCGAGAAGGAAAAAGAAACGCCAGATTGATGCTTTAGATATTGTGCCAGAAAATCCTACAGCTAATGTAGAACCAGTAAAAGGCGAGGAGGAGGAGGATGAGGCTCCAGTTAGTTAGACAATACAGGCCTATATAACGTCTGGGTAATACAAAATTATACAGGTATGTATTACATCCAGATAATACAATACAGGTGTGTACTACATCTAGATAATACAGGTGTGTACTACATCTAGATAATACAGGTGTGTACTACATCTAGATAATACAGGTGTGTACTACATCTAGATAATACAATACAGGTGTGTACTACATCTAGATAATACAATACAGGTATGCATTACATCCAGGTAATACAATACAGGTGTGTACTACATCTAGATAATACAGGTGTGTACTACATCTAGATAATACAATACAGGTGTGTACTACATCTGGATAATACAATACAGGTGTGTACTACATCTGGATAATACAATACAGGTGTGTAATACATCTACATAATACTATACAGGTGTGTACTACATCTAGATAATACAATACAGGTGTGTACCTCATCTAGATAATACAATACAGGTGTGTACTACATCTAGATAATACAATACAGGTGTGTAATACATCTAGATAATACAATACAGGTGTGTACTACATCTAGATAATACAATACAGGTGTGTAATACATCTAGATAATACAATACAGGTGTGTACTACATCTAGATAATACAATACAGGTGTGTAATACATCTAGATAATACAATACAGGTGTGTACTACATCTAGATAATACAATACAGGCGTGTAATACATCTAGATAATACAGGTGTGTACTACATCTAGATAATACAATACAGGTGTGTACTACATCTAGATAATACAATACAGGTGTGTACTACATCTAGATAATACAATACAGGTGTGTACTACATCTAGATAATACAATACAGGTGTGTACTACATCTAGATAATACAATACAGGTATGTAGTACATCTAGATAATACAATACATGTGTGTAATACATCTAGATAATACAATACAGGTGTGTAATACATCTAGATAATACAATACAGGTGTGTACTACATCTAGATAATACAATACAGGTGTGTAATACATCTAGATAATACAATACAGGTGTGTACTACATCCAGATAATACAAAACAATACAGGTGTGTACTACATCCAGGTAATACAATACAGGTGTGTACTACATCTAGATAATACAGGTGTGTACTACATCTAGATAATACAATACATGTGTGAACTACATCTAGATAATACAATACAGGTGTGTACTACATCTAGATAATACAATACAGGTAGATAATACAATACAGGTGTGTACTACATCTAGATAATACAATACATGTGTGAACTACATCTAGATAATACAATACAGGTATGAACTACATCTAGATAATACAATACAGGTGTGTACTACATCTAGATAATACAGGTGTGTACTACATCTAGATAATACAATACAGGTGTGTATTACATCTAGATAATACAGGTGTGTACTACATCTAGATAATACAGGTGTGTACTACATCTAGATAATACAAAAAATTACAGGTGTGTACTATATCTAGATAATACAAAACATTACAGGTGTGTACTACATCTAGATAATACAAAACAATACAGGTGTGTATTAATCCAGATAATATCTACAGACATCAAAGATCTCTATATCACTGTCACCTGTGAGTGATCACCTGATGCGTAAATCAAATCTTTTAATTCACATATCGTTACATAAGTATGCATTCTTGAAACAAATCAGGATTACCGTTCTCTTTTTGTTTCCAATTTGTGTTCTTGGTATTGTAAATAAATGTAAGTTTAAATACAGATATTTAAAATAAAAAAACCAAGTTCCAGTTTATTTTTAAAATACGATAACATTTCTTTCTCAATTTGGTTTTTGTCAGGTTTTCATTAAGTTGATCATGTTCTGAACTAGATTTCGTTTTACTGTTTCAGACAGAGACAGCGGTTATACCGGAGCTGTTTACCAGTTTCATTTTTGTTTTAATGTCACAGATTCTCCATCTGTTGTGGATGGATTTTACATAATTTTATTTTACTTTTTTTGTGTTAACGTCACTCAAGTTATCAATTAACTGTTTTACAAATGAGTTCATAAACACGACATAGAATGATTTATATATATTGGTGTATACACAGGAGGAACGGACACGATTTGTAAAGAATTTTCATGCAATGGATTCTATATCATTATTTGTTATGTATATGACGAATGTGACTCGAATGCATTGAGAACTGAGTACAAAAGGATATTTCCGTTGACGGAATATGTTTCTTTGAACATTATTCAACTTTGTAAAATTAGTGTTGATTGTGTAGTGACCTATGTCACTAAATCATTATACGGCTTTGTGGAATATCCACGTCTTTAGAAGTTTATCAACAATAATTCACATCGACAACGAATTTAAACTGTTTGGTGATGATGTTTCTATTCCTACAAATTCCCGGATCGGATGGATTATGAAAACTTGTGTGCTCTCAGTCCAAATCACCCTGGAAATCCCAGTGAGCTGACTGCTGTGATAAGCGGACTATTTGTGATACCAGAGTAATATAATTTACAGAATAAATACACTTACAATAACACTGTGTTGTGTTTTTAGTTTACACCTGTTTGTCAATACTTGACCCAGAGTATAGGCATTCTGAAGTCTACACAAGTGGAGTAAAGGTTTTCATACATGTCATACAAAGGGCAATTTTTTCAGCTGTACAGTGCTGGAATATCAATACAGTGAGAAAGAGAAACAACGAGTAAATATCAGAAACATTACAGAGAGAAAACAGTAACACTGGGTGAATATCAGACACATTACAGAGAGAAAACAGTAACACCGGGTGAATATCAGACACATTACAGAGAGAAAACAGTAACACCGGGTGAATATCAGACACATTACAGAGAGAAAGAAGACAGTAACACTGGGTGAATATCAGACACATTACAGAGAGAAAGAAAACAGTAACACCGGGTGAATATCAGACACATTACAGAGAGAAAGAAGACAGTAACACTGGGTGTATATCAGACACATTACAGAGAGAAAGAAAACAGTAACACTGGGTGTATATCAGACACATTACAGAGAGAAAACAGTAACACAGGGTGAATATCAGACACATTACAGAAAGAAAACAGTAACACAGGGTGAATATCAGACACATTACAGAGAGAAAACAGTAACACAGGGTGAATATCAGACACATTACAGAGAGAAAACAGTAACACCGGGTGAATATCAGACACATTACAGAGAGAAAACAGTAACACCGGGTGAATATCAGACACATTACAGAGAGAAAACAGTAACACAGGGTGAATATCAGACACATTACAGAAAGAAAACAGTAACACAGGGTGAATATCAGACACATTACAGAGAGAAAACAGTAACACAGGGTGAATATCAGACACATTACAGAGAGAAAACAGTAACACAGGGTGAATATCAGACACATTACAGAGAGAAAGAAAACAGTAACATAGGGTGAATATCAGACACATTACAGAGAGAAAACAGTAACACCGGGTGAATATCAGACACATTATAGAAAGAAAACAGTAACACCGGGTGAATATCAGACACATTACAGAGAGAAAACAGTAACACCGGGTGAATATCAGACACATTACAGAGAGAAAGAAAACAGTAACACAGGGTGAATATCAGACACATTACAGAGAGAAAGAAGACAGTAACACAGGGTGAATATCAGACACATTACAGAGAGAAAACAGTAACACAGGGTGAATATCAGACACATTACAGAGAGAAAACAGTAACACCGGGTGAATATCAGACACATTACAGAGAGAAAGAAAACAGTAACACCAGGTGAATATCAGACACATTACAGAGAGAAAACAGTAACACCGGGTGAATATCAGATACATTACAGAGAGAAAACAGTAACACCAGACACATTACAGAGAGAAAACAGTAACACAGGGTGAATATCAGACACATTACAGAGAGAAAAAAACAGTAACACAGGGTGAATATCAGACACATTACATTAATATCAGAGAGAAAACAGAAAACAGTAACACAGGGTGAATATCAAACACATTACACAGAGAAAAAAGTAACATTGGGTGAATATCAGACACATTACAGAGAGAAAACAGTAATATCGGGTGAATATCAGACACATTACAGAGAGAAAGAAAACAGTAACACCGGGTGAATATCAGACACATTACAGAGAGAAAACAGTAACACCGGGTGAATATCAGACACATTACAGAGAGAAAACAGTAACACCGGGTGAATATCAGACACATTACAGAGAGAAAACAGTAACACCGGGTGAATATCAGACACATTACAGAGAGAAAACAGTAACACCGGGTGAATATCAGACACATTACAGAGAGAAAACAGTAACACCGTGTGAATATCAGACACATTACAGAGAGAAAACAGTAACACAGGGTGAATATCAGACACATTACAGAGAGAAAACAGTAACACAGGGTGAATATCAGACACATTACAGAGAGAATACAGTATCATAGGGTGAATATCAAACACATTACAGGGAGAAAGAAAACAGTAACACAGGGTGAATATCAGACACATTACAGAGAGAAAACAGTAACACAGGGTGAATATCAGACACATTACAGAGAGAAAGAAAACAGTAACACAGGGTGAATATCAGACACATTACAGAGAGAAAACAGTAACACCGGGTGAATATCAGACACATTACAGAGAGAAAACAGTAACACAGGGTGAATATCAGACACATTACAGAGAGAAAGAAGACAGTAACACAGGGTGAATATCAGACACATTACAGAGAGAAAACAGTAACATTGGGTGAATATCAGACACATTACAGAAAGAAAACAGTAACACAGGGTGAATATCAGACACATTACAGAAAGAAAACAGTAACACAGGGTGAATATCAGACACATTACAGAAAGAAAACAGTAACATAGGGTGAATATCAGACACATTACAGAGAGAAAACAGTAACATAGGGTGAATATCAGACACATTACAGAGAGAAAGAAAACAGTAACATAGGGTGAATATCAGACACATTACAGAGAGAAAACAGTAACACAGGGTGAATATCAGACACATTACAGAGAGAAAACAGTAACACAGGGTGAATATCAGACACATTACAGAGAGAAAACAGTAACATAGGGTGAATATCAGACACATTACAGAGAGAAAGAAAACAGTAACACAGGGTGAATATCAGACACATTACAGAGAGAAAACAGTAACATAGGGTGAATATCAGACACATTACAGAGAGAAAGAAAACAGTAACATAGGGTGAATATCAGACACATTACAGAGAGAAAACAGTAACACAGGGTGAATATCAGACACATTACAGAGAGAAAGAAAACAGTAACACAGGGTGAATATCAGACACATTACAGAGAGAAAACAGTAATACCAGGTGAATATCAGACACATTACAGAGAGAAAGAAAACAGTAACACAGGGTGAATATCAGACACATTACAGAGAGAAAGAAAACAGTAACACAGGGTGAATATCAGACACATTACAGAGAGAAAACAGTAACACCGGGTGAATATCAGACACATTACAGAAAGAAAACAGTAACACTGGGTGAATATCAGACACATTACAGAGAGAAAGAAAACAGTAACACAGGGTGAATATCAGACACATTACAGAGAGAAAGAAAACAGTAACACAGGGTGAATATCAGACACATTACAGAGAGAAAGAAAACAGTAACACAGGGTGAATATCAGACACATTACAGAGAGAAAACAGTAACACAGGGTGAATATCAGACACATTACAGAGAGAAAGAAAACA